CACACACACACACACACACACACACACAATACTCTATATCTATGCTACCTATAGTAGGCCCTACCTGCTTATCTATAAGAACCTACAGCAACTCTAGATTCCACACTTGGTAATCCACGTGTGCAAACTTAACTATCGCTATCGCCACCAGATCGCTATAGTAAATCAGGTAAACCGCACAGCACGGCTATTTAATCTCCGTAGTAAAACTGAATATCCAGTCCGAGAAGCATTTCATGCGAGCTGCTGTGTTGCTCTAACCTGCTATATATACACCCCGAGTGAACGTCCGATCAGAACATGGCTGACACGCAGGAAACTCAGAGTTCGTCTGCGGCGAGCGACGACGACGAGAATAGGAAGACGTCGGTTTGGTCGTGCGGGCTACGCCGCTACCCGACGTGTCTGCAGCCATGCGCCGACATCAGGCTCTTCGTGCTAGTCTACAGCGCCATCTTCCTCTGCATTGGCGCCTTCTTTGCGTATTTCGTATCCGTGCTGTCGACGTTAGAGAAGCGATTCCAGTTACCCAGCAAGACGGCAGGAATGCTGTTGATATTCAACGACGTGGGAGAAGCCGTCGTCGTCATTTTCTTCAGTCACTTCGGCGGCAGATCGCACCGGCCGCGCATCATCGCTCTGCTGTCGGCAGTGTTCGCTCTCGGCGCGTTTATCACTTCACTGCCGCACTTCATCTACGGCGGCGGCACGTACGTGGAGCGGGAGTTCGGCACGGGCCTGAATCTGTCGGCGTGGCGCGACACGTGCGCCGGCGTCGCCGTACCCGACACGTGTGACGTCACGCTGCAGACGAACAAGATGGCGATTGGCATCATTGTCATCGGGCAGCTGATTTTAGGAGCCGGATGTTCGAGCCTATTTGCGCTGGGGTCCAGCTACATTGATGATAACGTCAAACCCGAGAATGCGGCGCTCTACCTAGGTTTGATAATTATTCAAGACGACAACTCGTTATACTGGCGTTTAATAATTATTAAAAAATGCATCTCTTTTTTACCTATGGTTGATCATTTCTGAAACAATACCTGTCTTTATACATGCATTTGATAACTATGCAAGTATGCATGTCTTTATGCATGGATTGGATCAGTAGCAAATATCACACATCTTCCAAACGTCAACTATTTCTTTATTTTAAAATAGTAAATAGTCAATTGCGGATTTTGCCGCTGGGTGTGCAACCGCGTTCAGAAAGATACAAGACATATGCTGTTAACCTAGAGTCCATTGGGAGCGAAATCATAAGTTGTTAAGACATCATGACTACTAATTGCCATAACTTTCGAAGTGAATTGTAGCCTAGTGCTAAAGTTGTGAAATTTTCTACTTATGATAGTAATAACTGACTACGAACATTTTGGTCTATACAGGCATTGGCGCATGCAAAGCATATCCTAACTTCCGATTCAATGGTGTTTTTTTTCAGGGATCACATACACCTTGCAGCTGTTTGGACCTTCGCTTGGATTTGTAATTGGAAGCGTTTTTACTCGAATCTATGTCACATTATCAGGTATGTCATTAATAAAACTTGGCTAACGTAAATTATGTATCGGCGCAAATAGCGCAGCGAAAATTCAATCTCCTTTTCCACGTTTAGTTTTCGACTATAAATTGTAATAGTGAATTCACTAAACTTATTGGCTGATATGTCTGTGTGATGCGTGCGCGTGCATGTGTGCGCGTGTATCACGTTTGAAAATATTATGTAGACTCAAGTTATACAAATATATTATATTGAGCTATTGCCTCGTCGATCTACCAACGGATGCACTATCAGCAGTGTTATCATAGGTTTATCGTGGACGATTATCGTCTAGATAGAGGTTTCCAAACCTTTTCAGGCCACCTTCTCTAAAAAGCGTTTGACAATTCCCCTACATGATAGGACTGATCGATCACCCGTTCAATGATCCAAGAGGAACAAGTGGATGGAAACTCAAAATTATAATGTATATATATATGAGTAAATAATAGAGATCCTATTATCTACTCCTGATATATATATCAAGAGTACACAATAGAGATCTATATTA